TTAAGCCTTAGATTGTATATACGTTAGTTTAGTTGGATAGCTGATATAACAAAAGGATATTCTTGGGTGCTGGTTTCGACTAGGTTTATTCTGCCTGAAAGTTTTTCATGAACGGTGGTCACTTTCTACATTTACTTCTTCGATTATTAAAACTCTTTATACAATTAATTCAAGCTAATGGTGTGCTTGATCTGGTTGTTATGTTAGCTTCTATCTTATTCGATATCTTTTCCCCGTGTAGCATGTGACAAGAAAAATGTTTTTTAATTTAAGAAGTCTGTTATCAGTCTATTATCTCCCTCTGACTACTAATACTAGCTTTTCCTGGAAAGCAGAGAAGATCTTAAATTCTAAATTACAACACTAAATGTGAGCGCATAGCTCCAATTATCGTGGCCAGGTTTACCCAATACTTGTGCTTGTGGGTATCACAGATTTCCTAGGGGAGTAGTCGAGTGCACAAGATGTCCAGGCACCACGGTTGTAATAAAAAGATACACTGTCATTTAACAGATGATAAAGAATTTTGCTATCCATTTTCTAAAGACAACAAAAAATGGTAAAGATTTCATTTATATGCTTTGATCAAAGGCTTTTTACAAGTTTACAACTCTTGCCTAGTAAGATGGAAAAAAACTAAAAACGAAAAATTCTAAGCTAGCTCTAATCTGAAGCTCAGAATGCTACTTCATTTCATAGATTCAATCGAGAAGTCACATAAACAAAATCATCCTCATTGCAAGGAATTGTTAGACCACCCGTTGGATGATGAAATCCAAACTCTTCTTCTGCTTTCTGCAACAAGTTCTGGAAAGAAGGATGATCGAGGTATGTTATTGGCACCATATACCTTTTCTTCTCTCTCTCACCGGCATAAACTGCAAAATGTCCCTTTGGAACATCTGCATGATTTCTTGTTAGAAGAGACTGTAGTTTGTAGATTTTCTTGGCACTGGAAATCAATGGTAACAAACGAAATCCCATGACTTCTCCTCAACTTTAAGAGAGTGTTATAAGAAATTGGAAACAAGCTTTAAGTGATATGTGTTGTAGAAAAAGAAGCTTATGCTTTTCTGCATATGAGTTCTCTGATGTATATATAGTGATTGATTGGAGGAGTTAGTTGATTTATTTGTAGTATATCCCAACAGTGTGGGACCGAATTCGCTCTAACAAAGCATGACAGTGGACTCAATTTCTTTACATTATTGTAGCAGAAAGCTCTGCTTGCTCCCCAACTTGCAGCTGTACGATAGAAGAACTTTTTTTTCTTCATTATTTGACAATACATTTATGGCATAGCACATCGTTTTCCGGCTCAAAACCGCGTACTTCTATGTAGACAGTTTTTCCTTTGTACTATTTTTTTCTATTTGATTATTTATTGTTTTTGCTACTCCTATCTTTTGGTCGTCAGACTGATGATACACAGTACTCACGAGGCATATTTGGGGCCTTTGTTGTTTGGTTGCTGCGTTTGGTTGCTGCTTCTCTAACTTCTATTGTGCCAGATTGATGGAAGTGGCAGTGGCTCTAGGTATTTTTGTTAAAAAAAAAGAATTTACTATGCAGGGTATAGCGGAAGGGGAAATAGGAGGGGATTACAAGGCTGAGAATCGAATCCTCACCAACCAATTGATCGTTACTAAGATTCTCTGTGGTGGCTCTAGGCTTATTTTACAGTTCCACTCTTCCCCAGTTTTCTATAATTCAATCAAGATTGGTTCATTTCCTGCTGTCAAAATGAATAAGTAGTTGCTCAGCCTGACATATCTGCCCTACCAGTTTGGATATGTCCTTTTCTACATGTCTTCTGAAGAGCACTTGTCCTATAGGTACAAACTACATGTGATTATAAGGTCATTTTAGATTATCCGGGTACTGTTTTGGTGCAGGTTGTTATATTCATCCAGTATCCAATCATTGATACAAGTTTGTCTTTCTGAAGATATTTAGTTAACTGTCCATATTTGACTTTACAGACATGTTATTCATGCATTTAATCTTGCATAAAGTGATAAGATTTGTTTCGTACTAAATGTAATACACGGATTTTCTTTGGCTTGTCTTAAAATACAGCATCAGATTTTGATGTTGTATGAGATTGGGCTTGTTTAGCTTATACTAATGTTTCCTAATTTCTCTATTTACTGACAGATCACTGTCAATCGAGATCTTTTATAGAAGTTAAATAATCATCTTTATTTCATCCCTAATTTGGAGATCCTGAATTCAGATTCCATCTCCAATCTTGGTGGTAGGTTTACATAAAACATTTACTTGTGGCCATAGACTTGGTCCAGGTGTGCGCGAGATGGCTCAAACACTATCGTCATAATTAAGAAAAGAATACTTTCAACCACCAGCAGCTGTTGTTATGAGCTATGGGTCTTGTGAGTTGTGGGGTTGGGGTTGTACCTCACATGGCTTTGATCACAAAGCTCAATAAAAAATGCAGTATTTTTTATTCCCTGTGAATGTATCAGCGGGAATTGGTCAAGTGGCTAAAGAACATTGCCCATCCCTATAAAGTTATTGCATGTCTTGTTCTGATAATATTAATAATGCATCGGAATAGCTGGCCGTACAATGGAGACTTTCATTACAGTACTATGTGATGAAAGGACCGGAATATCAATATCACCATGTCACATGGTCCATGTGGATACCATGTGACCTCCATACTTTACTATAAATAGGCTTCTATTACTGCTAAGACTTCTGCTGATGTACTGGCTTGGAGTTTTTGAACAATATTAATACTATATGCGCAAGAATTTACAAAGAAATAAATTTTATTGTGCAACCTCATATGTACTTGCCTAGGGTTCTGAGAATGGTAAGTTTGTCTCGAGAATTTACAATTGGTAAGATTTAATAGTGAACTTTTAATTTCATTCACAGATTATCTTAATTAATAAAACCGTTTAAGTGCTATGCAGGTATTGTAGGAGTAGGTAATCTTGTCTGGATAAGGAGATTTTAGTAGTGACGGGCTAGAAAAGGCAGAGTTTTACCAAGGCAGACAACAGTATGGCAAGTGTAAAATAGGCAACCATTCTGGTAGCATGAATAAATGCCTTGAGATGAAGTCACTATTTGGCGAGTGTAAAATACTCTTTTTTAATTTTTGTACTCCTATTTTATCTCTTCCCTTTGGTGTGTTTTTTCAATCTTTTCGACCTTGGTTTGCAGGATTTATGTTGCAGCTGATTACATGCGAGTGACTTGGCAATGTAAATCGTTACTTGCACAATTAGTACTATAATAGTAGGGAACTGAGGATAAAGAGATGCTGAAAAGCAATGTTTTGGATTACACAACTATGATATTACAATAAAATATATTCAACATCTAGGTAAAGTGGGGATTTCTGTCTAATAAACTTCTAACCTACATTATACTTGATGGTACAGATTGAAGCACTAGACTTCTGCACCTCCTTTGTTAATTAGTAATGGCATTTAAGTGAGAAGTAACACTTATAAATGCAGTCTCACTACATGGTATAGTTAGGCCGCCCATTGGATAATCGAATCTGTATTCTTCCTCTGCATGCCTCAACAAGTCTTGAAACAAAGGATGCTTTAAACAAGAGATAGGAACCACAAATCGATGCTTATTATTATGGCTCTCTCCAACATAAACTGCCATGTGACCCTTGGGAACATCTTCCAACTTTGATGAAGTGGTTGCAGTTGTTCTTTGGCGGAGAAGAATATTCCGTTTAGCATGCCGAAGGATTGTCTTCAGATGAATCCTCATGTCGATGAACTTCTATTCAACTTTTAGCTGGTACGAATGCTGCAAGAAATTGAAAACAAGCTTTAAGTGATATGTAGTGTGAAGAACTAGGCTTATGGTTTTTGCAAATGAGTTCTCTGACTTATATTTTTATATATAGGGATTGGTTGGAGGAGTTACTTGATTTATTTTTAGTAGTATCCCAACAGTGTGGGACCAAAATTCACCCTAACAAAGCATGACAATGGACTCAATTGCTTTACATTATTGTGGCAGAAAGCTCTGTTTGCTTCCAAACTTGTTGCTGTAAGATAGAAGAATTTTTTAGTTAACTCTATATTTATAGCATAGCACATAGTTTCCCCGCGCTCAAAACCGTGTACTTTGACGATGACTCAGTTTTTTCTTTAATTATTTCTTTTTTATTGGATAATTCTTGCTACTGAAGGACATGTTCCCATGAGACATATTTGGGACCTTTGTTGTTTGGTTGTAGTGCTTGAATGCAACTATTTTTCCCCCGGCTGCTTCTCTAGTTTCTATTGTGCCATAGTTCATTGTATTTGTGGAGTAGCAGCCCTTGTTTATCACTGATAGAAGTTTCATATAAGCACAATACTGAGTCACCTAATATGGTTTTTTGATAGTTATCATAAGGTGTTGAGAAGACTTTGAAGTACCAATAAATGATATAGTCGACAGGAATCCCAACCTTCCACAACTTTTTAAGAAAATCATATCTTGCCTCTTGCAGAAATGCAGGGTAAGCCTGCGTATAATAGACCCTTGTGGCCCGGCCCTTCCTCGAACCCCGCGCATAGCGGGAGCTTAGTGCACCGGGCTGCCATATCTTAGTCCTGAGACCATGCATCGCTACATCCCTTAGAAATATTAAACTATATTGTACCATGAGAAAGCAGGAATAATTGTACAGGAGATTCATCGCCAATGGATAGTCTAGTAGCTAAGAGATGACAATTTAATCGCAGTGTCATAAGTTCATTTCTTAGTGGTCGTAGGTCACTGCTGTGCGCCCAACTGGATTTCCATTCGCCTCTTAACTATGTGCAAATGTATAGTATCTATCTTCAGAACTGCAAATTACTGATCTATCTTCCTCATTTTCTACTAGTAATTGAATACTGCTTGAGAATATATTGGTGATACGGCCAGCAGTGCCCCTAGGCTTACTTTACAACTCCAATCACCCGCAGTTTTCTATTTCGAGCATTGTGAAATATCCCTTTTGTCCCTCAATATAATTCAATTAAGATTGGTTCATTTCCTGCTGTCAAAATGGATGAGTAGTTTCTCATTCTGACATAACTGCCCTACCAATTTTGGGCTATGTTGCTCGGACTCTCCGAAATTGTGGCCGGATACGTGTCGGATCCTCCAAAAGTAGTGCAATTTTGAAGGATCCGACACGGGTGCGGCTACATTTTGGAGAGTCCGCGCAACATAGATTTTGGGTACATGTCCTATCTGTACAACTACATGTGATTATGAGGTAATATTTTGGTGCAGGTTGTTATATGCATTCAATATTCAATCATTGATAACAAGTTGTTACTGTCCATATGTGACTTCACCGACGTGATTCATCATTTAATGTTGTGCATAGTGATAAAAATCTGCTTTGTACTAAAAAAGTAATAAGCAGATGCAGATCTGCTTTGGCTCATCTTAAGATACATCATCAAATTTTGATGCCTTAAATTTTCTGTATGAGGTTGAGCTGGTTTAGTTACTGGTGTTTCCCTTATTTCTTGGTTTACTGACAAATTAATGAAGATTCTCTACAAATTAAATGATCATCTTAACCTACCTGCTGCTTCTTTAATTACAAAAGGAAAAACACTATTAATTTGATTACTCAAGCCTAGATTGTGTATCTTAAGATTCTTGGATGCTGATATTGATAAAAAAAGATATAGTTGG